TTTTAATTGTCTTTGGGTCTGCTATCTATGATATGCTAGGGGTCTCACTGATATTTTTACGGTGGAATTTTCTATTTTCCGACAAATAGTTATTGATAGACATCTGCGTAAATATCGTACACCTATGATAATGGTGTACGATTGTTAATAAAATATTAAAGTTGATGCATGTTGCGTTTATACTGTATTACGTGGTGTGTTACGTTCGACTCGAAATTTCCACGATCTCGGAATGTATTTACCTTTATTTATTTGTATAATTTATTGAAAATATTATTTATTCACTTTGTACGAGTTGAAATTTGCTTAGCGCGCGCCTATTTATTAAAACCTCACCAACTTATCGCTCGCTGTATGCAGGCTTCGAAGCATTACTGCTATGTAACTGATTTGGTCAAGCGTAAAGACAATTTGTATTTAATTTGACACTTAGAAGTAAACACGAATTAGAAAGTAATTATACTTCCTTTAAAGAAGTCGAGTGTTGTACTACCTTATCAGAAATTCACATCTATAAAGCAAAGAAAACATGAATCAATATTTACGTTCATAATTTTAAATTCTCAATTAAATAATAAGATTTATGAGATAAAAAGTCGCAAACGACGAACACTGGGCTTGAAATAGACAGCTATGTTTTCAAAACTCGTCTTCCACAACCATATACCTCTGAAGACCACAGTCACAATGCTATTAGCCAATACTTCTGGAGAGGTACTCCTTCACTCCAATTATAACAGGAATTAGCTGTACTAAAATATATCTGCAGTTAAAAGTAAGTAAAACTCGTATCGTATTGTCTACTAACCGCGCAGTTCTTCTTCTATTTCATTCTATCTTCTATTCCTGGTTGCTGCGTTTCTTTTAATCTTCACTGCGCGGTCTTCAACTGCCTCATATACCATTGTTTCATAATTTATTTCTATGCAATTATAAATTTTAATTTAAGGGAGGATTCTCTATTTCAAGCCCTTACACTCATAACTTTCAGTCGTTTGCGATTAAAATAGCCTCTTAGTGTAAAACTGTAATCATGGTCGGCGACGCACTAAAATGAAATGAAGTTATTTTTCTGATAAAATACTATAAATATTTTTGTATTATCTCAATGCAGATATAGTGTGATAGCAATATTCACATGTTTGAGAGTATTAATTATTAATTTTATTCGTATGATATAACCTATGTAACCGGATCGTGTCACAGCAACACATAATGTAATTTATTCTAATTATTGTAAATAAATTAATGTAATTAATGACCGTAGCTTAATGTCGGAACGATTAAGGATCTTGTGTATACAGTATAATTAATTTTAACGCATAACTATTAATTTTAAGAACACAATAAATTATTGTTTCAATTTGAACTTGTGTTGTTTTATTTTGTCTGTATAGTGTTGATAGACTCGACAAGACTACTAAAAATGTCCAATCAAAATTTTCCTACTCGGTACTGTCTTCTTTCAAGATTTGTTAATATTCTTTATAGTAAACTGCCTAAAATAGTATATATCTATACAAATAAATATGTGTCTGTTTGTTATGTCAAAATAATAGGTTTTTTTTCATGATCACGGTTATTTGTACGAAACCTATGCCTAAAAACCAGTTTAAATATTTTTTTGTCTGTCTGTCTATTGGTTCCGGGTAATCTTCAAAACGGCTGGACCGATTTTGATAATATTTCACTAACGTAGCCGTCTATATAAGGAGTAACTAAGGCTACTTTTTCTCAGAAAACCCCTATAAAATTTTGCGTGATCCTAGAATCAAACTCACTAAGGCAGCGCTTTTCAAATTCCACGCGAGTTATATGTGGATATATGCTGTTATGTGAAGTAGAATTTTTTAACACAATATCTAAAATGCTCTACGATTTTATTAAAAAATTGATTAATACAACAATTACAATGTCATGTTTTTATTTTTTTAATTTTTTTAATAAAGACAACTCCCGCATTAGGAACACATCCTGTGTCGCTGGACTTTACAAACAAAAGTGAAACGGATACAAAGAACACCCAGACTTAGAACAACAATTTGTGGATCACATAAAGTGTCGTCCTATGTGGGGTTTGAACCCACAACACTCGGCGTAGTAGGAAGCGGCGTGGCGACCGCTAAACCACTACGCCATCCGTGCAGTCAATGTTAGTCCACGTGATAGAAATTACACGGGGTTAACCGACTAAAGAGAAGTGACGTTAATTTTAATGCTTGTTAAGTTAGTTTGTCTATGGGTGTCGTAAGAGCCGACTAAGGTCTCGTGCAGTGTGCAAGCGATGTCGCGCGACAGAGTTATTACTGTTTTGTTTAAAATAGCTTAGTAAATAACGCATTAATTTCTTGTAAGATGTAAAAGATAAAAATGTTAACTGTGGGTTATCGATTTTTTTGTAGATCTGTTTAAAATGAACTATTCCGTAGTATAATATTTTTATTTATCTCGTAAGGTTTAGCCAGCGCTTGCAATGCAAGCGCGCACAAAAAATGTTTTTTTACGACATCGCCTTACAAATCTTGGAAATTCTCTTTTTCTTGATTTTATATATACATGCAGTAGTCTTTACTTTTTAGCCATACAATAAGAATGTTTAGTACTAATCCCAAATAAGTAACTAAATTGTGGAGTGCTATCGATTGGTCGCTAGTAGTCGCTCATCGCTAGTCGCCCGCACGCTGCACTGATTATTATTATTCTTATTTTTTTTAAACGTAATGCACATGTACAAATGCGGATTTAATGCCATTAAGCATTCTCCCCAGTCAAACATAATTTAGGTTCAGAGACATACACAATATATATACACACATACATACATAAACCTACATAAATTTAATAAAATATATAAATACTCAGTCGGGTACTAGCGTTGTGACTGCTCTGCCAATTCACTCCGAAGAAGATCGCGCACTTTCCTCTTGAATACAAGGCGGGCCTAAGAAAAAAAAAAATCACGCAAGACAACAGCACTGCACAGATAAGGAAATCTTGAAACAAACTTTTTTTTTTTTTTTTTCTACGTGTGATAATCCCCTCGGACCGTCACCCCACCGGGGTTTGCGGCGGGGTGGTGTGTCGGACTCGAACCGACTAAAACCACACGGTGTGCCACTCTGCGCCTGTAGTAGGAGGGATCCGGGAACAGCTGTTATTAAGACATCCGGACCCCTCCTAGCGCCGGCCCGCTCCTGTTGCGGGCCCCGTCTCAAAATTTTTTTTCCTCTCTTTAGGCGACGTCCGGCACACGCGGACGCCGCCCCCTCGCGGCTGGCCAAACTAATGCGGGTGGAGGGGAAACCCACCCCGTCCACCCGCGGCCACACTCAGGGCGGCATGAGGCGGTGATATGCGCGCCTCCGCCGCCCGGTTCGCCGGCGGCGGATCGGGTCCGAGTGGAGGTCGTCCTCCCGGGCTTTCTCCGCCGCCTCCTTCTGCGAGATTACTTCCTCGCAGAAGGTTGCGACCGCGGTAAAACAACTGTCGCTACCGGCCATGGAGCGTACTACGGCCGGTAGCGAGAGATCCACTCCGATGACTGCAGTGAGGGCCCGGCGCTGCGTCGCCCATGCGGGGCAGACCGCCAGCGTGTGCTGGGCCGAGTCCTCACTGCAGTCGCAGTGGTGGCAGGCGGGACTCAGTTCCCTCCTAGCGACCGAGTGCAGGTACTTTCCGAAGCAACCGTGCCCGGAAAGCACCTGCGTCGGCTGGAAGGTAAGGGTCCCGTGCTGCCGCCCTGCCCACTCGGCGATGACCGGCTGGAGAGCCTCCACGGCGGCGAAGCCAGCGCGTGGAGTCTCCAGCCGGAACGACCAACAAGCCATCGTGGCTCGGCGAGCGGCTTCGCGCCACTCGCGCACCTCTTCGGGCGGAGGGCGAAATCCGCTCTCCGCCCGGGAGTCAGCCTCCAAATCCCACGGGGGAGTTCCGGCCAACGCGCACGCCACCTCCGTCGAAACGGTGCGGTAACCGCGTATGGCTCTGACCGCCATTACCCTCTGAGGGCGCCAGAGGCGTACCCTATTCTGGGCGGTCAGAGCCGCCGCCCACACCGGTGCACCGTATAGTGGAACAAACCCTATACCAACCCGTCTGGCCAGCGTGTTATAGCAGGCCATACCCCCCTATTGCAAGGAGAGGCCATACCCAGCCTGTGGATTCTTAAAGATGTTGATGATGAGGATATGTCTATGGTACTTCGAAGCTGTTGATATGAGTCTATTTCTTTCTCAATTAACGCTTTGAGCTATTTTTTTAAAACTTGTCAAACTACCTAATGTTGGTAGAAAAAAATATATATCATAGAAATAAACATTCTATGTTTTATCGACTTGCTAAAAAAGACACGAAAAATAATGCCGGTATATTCCGACTTAATGTTTATTTACCAATCAAGCCAACCTGTACCAGTCATATAATATGATTAAATGCTATTATAACTTAATGTCACTAAGAATACCAACTGTCACGGATAAGTAATCTCTAAAATGTCAAATAAAAGACAATATTTTTATTTATATTTTATTTTACCTTGATTTTGTATGACAAATGTTAATTTGTACTGTAGTGCTTAAATTTTCTAAACCAGGGAGGCTGCTGTACTATTTTATTTTTATGTTCTATTATCAAATAACAATAAATTATATTCGGTTATAATTTCCATGTTTTTGTCTTGTAATATAACAGGATTTAATACGGCCTGTTCGTAACCTATTCATTTCTTCTTAATAAGTCGCTAGATTTATATCTGTATACCCTGTCAGAAGCACAGGTGAAGTACTGACTTTTTCAAGTTTGCTCAGTTAAGTTAAGAAAAAGGGTAATTTTACATCGTGTTTTAATGTGAACCACATAAATAAGCAATAAATCAATAATAACGCTTCAAGTAATAAACAATTTCCGGACTTTTTTATTGCAAAAGACTAGTATATCGTAATGGTAGTATTTTACATAGACCTATAGCTCATTTTCTGCACTATTTCTTTAGTCGATACACCTCAATAGTCTAGGATAGGCATATCTGGTTGGTCAGCGCTTTCCTGGACTTGATTATCTTTTGTTGTATGATTATTATTAATACTATTTGATATCGAAATAAGTTTCTTTGGTCTATTTGCTAGCGCAGCCACCAATTGTTGGCGAGTTATTCCCGTGACCCTATGTAATTTCCTTGTTCCAGGTATTTGTACAACTAATTTGTTTGAATTAATAACTTTCTTCACCTGGTTTTCTATAGGAATTGAATTTAATATTTTTTGGTTATTTTTATTACAGATGGGTATTAACTTATTTTGACATTGCATTTCAGGTATTGCTATAACTTTTTTTAGGGGACTTTCAGGGGCAGCTTTTACATTTTTTGTTCGACCTTCATGGTGTGTTATAAGGGAACTTTTAGGTACCACTGAAATTTCATAGTCTGATGTCACTTCCATCACATGACTTTCATGGTCTGTTGTAACTGTCTGAAATGGATCCTGGTCTCCTATTATTCTGTTAACTGGATTATAAGACTCTGTTCCTGGATTTTCAGACTCTGTAATTATTTTTTTTAGTGGACTGTCTATGGGCAAAGCCAGAACTTTTTTTATATAGTTTCCTTGAGGCCCTGATATGATTTTATCTATTGTTGACATCGCAATCGTTTTTTCTAGAACACTACCCTTGGCGATGGGTGTTAGTTTCTTCGGACAGTGTCCTTTGTTTTCAGTTAGTAAATTTTTTATTTTGTGTTCGTTAGGAGAAACTTGAACGATATTATTTTGGTTACCAGGGGGTGTTGAGTTATTTTCTTGCGAGATATTATTTCGTTGCTCATTTGATACTACAAAAACCTTTTGTAGATTATTTTCTGGCACGGAAATGACATTCCGGCCGACATTTTCAGAGATAGAATTAACATTATGCTGGTATTTTTTAGGCATTACTATAAGTTTTTGAAAGTGATTGTCTGGAACTGTAATAACTTTTCGTGCTTGATTATCTGACACCGAAAAAAAATTTTCTTGCTGACTACCTGCATTTGTAATAACTTTTTGTTTCTGGCTACCCACATTTGTAATAACTTTTTGTTGCTGGCTACCCACATTTGCAATAACTTTTTGTTGCTGGCTACCCACATTTGCAATAACTTTTTGTTGCTGGCTACCCACATTTGCAATAACTTTTTGTTGCTGGCTACCCACATTTGCAATAACTTTTTGTTGCTGGCTACCCACATTTGCAATAACTTTTTGCTGCAGGGCCGACTTTGTGAGTACTTTCTGGTCACGTTTAGGTATTACTATATACTTTTGTAACTGTCTGTCTGTCGTTGATACAACTTGCATATAATTGTTCGTTATATTTGGATAAGTATTTGCCAACTTAATTACTGCTTGATTGTTCTTTATTTGCAGTGTAATTACTTTTTCTTTGATATCTTCAGAAATTACAGGTTCTGCAGAAATACGCTCCTGTTGGTCTTGTTCAAATGTTTGATTTTCTTCACTAACTTGTTTTTCGTTATTTTCTTGTTCCACAGTAATATTACGTTCATATGATTTTTCATTTACAACACTATTTTGTTCAGTGGAACAAGTTTTAACCTTTATGGTTCTTCTGCGCTTCGTTTGGCCATTAATCGTCGTGTCGGTCTGGTCTGTGTTTTCAGCGTTTTTATCTTTCCGTTTTCGCTTTTTATTTTTTTTAGTATTGTCCCCGCTAACAAATGTACACTGTAACTTATGTTCATCTAGTTCCTCCTGAGTAAAAAATCTGGAAAATAAAAGTTACGATTCATTTGTAAGTACACTCCTTCTTAAATAAAGACAACTCCCGCATTAGGAATATATCCTGTGTCGCGGGGGACTTTACAAACATGAAACGGACACAAAGAAAACCAACTCTTTATTCTTCGTACGTATTCTTTTGACATACTAGTCAGACAGCACAGACATTGAATGTAAAATGTATGAAAAGTGTAAAAATCTAAAATATAAAAATATAATGAGAAACAGGCACAAGCATATTTTGACATGTCATAATGTTGGTATATATTGGTTGGTATGTACATCCGGGATCAGTTTTGATTTTTATTTAGACCTACTATATAAAGATGTAAACTGAACCCGTATGTATATTTTACAAGTCGCAACTCTTAAAAAGAACATGGACGCTTGAAAGGCAATCCTCACTGGGTTATATGAACCTGATTTTTGTCTTTTTTGTCCTCGCCATTTCGCGTTACGCGGGGTTGGCTTTTCTAATAATGCGGCACCACTTTCTGCAGTCTTTAGTATTGTCCCAAAAATATCTGACGATTAGAATGTTAAATAAAATTCAGTTTATGTGCTCGTGTAGCTTTGTAAGGATTGTTTTTAAGCGTCTATATGTTTTTGAAAACCCATTTTTTTTTTATATTAATCAAATAGTTTTGCAATACTGGATAATTTATAAATTTTATTAAAAAATATATTACAATTAAATACTCTATAAATATTTACTTAGTATTTTTAATATTCAAAAGTAAAAATGACGAGTATATATTTTATTTCTAATGTACATCTGATTTTAGCATTAGGTAAGATCACCTTTTAAAAACTCAAGTTTCAGCTTACAATCTTAGATATATATTAATTAGAAACTATAATAGGCATTGATTATAATCGACAAAATGTGGGCATTTTATTCGACTCTGTTTAACTCTTAGGACGTCGCGGCGCGCGGATGACCTATGACCCGTTACTGTCGCGCCCTTGAACTAGTGACCCAGTCACAGCTGAGCGAAGTCATTATTACCTCAATATCTACGTTATTTTATAATTATATTCAATGAAATAAACATATTTGGAATCCCTGATATATATTCTTCTAAATGTTGTGACAGAGACGCTACCGCGTAAAAATTTGGTGTCACAACTGTTGTGACGGCGACGCGTCGGAGGTTAAGGCTTCATAACATGTGACTGATGTATTTAGAAACTCTATTTTTGTAACCTTTTAATAATGGGTTAATAGTAATAATAGTTAAAAAAAAAACTAAAAAACGTGTGCATGTTCATCAACAGCCTTTAGTCCACTGCTGGACATAGGCCTCTCCTTAGAAAGGAGGTTTTGGTACTACTATGTGCATGTTGTCAATAGTAAAAAGCACCCCACGCTTTTTTGTTCTAATTTATTAAAATTTATTTTCTATTTTTAGTTTGGTTTATTATAAAAAGTGTGTTTTTTAGTTTTTTTTTTAACTATTCTTTTTTATTGTAATTAGTGTATTGTCATCGGTCCTCGATATATTTATAAATTTTGAACGAATTCTGACCATTTAAGGTCAGTCAAAATCACGCCCAAAGTAGTCGGTTACAAACAAACATACAGGTGAAGCTAATAAAAAGCGTGTAATAAAAAGGGCCTAAATCCCTTAATCTATTCTAATATTATAAAGCTGAAGAGTTTGTTTGTTTGTTTGAACGCGCTAATCTCAGGAGCTACTGGTCCGATTTGAAAATTCTTTCAGTGTTAGATAGCCCATTTATCGAGGAAGGCTATAGGCTATATATCATCACGCTAAGACCAATAGGAGCGGAGCACCAATGAAGAATGTTTCAAAAACGGAGAAAATTTATTACTATTGAGAGACGCAGACGAAGTTGCGCGGGTCAGCTAGTAGTATATACACGCTTGGCAAGTCTCGACAAGCGTGTAAACGGGATGTTTGGCTTGGCTTACGTTTGCCAAGCCTTGGCAAGCGTGTAAATGCGTGGCAGTAGTTAAACAGTCGTTACTTTTGACCGCAGGTACATTTGCACTTGTGCTCCGAGTCCTTGTGTTCCATGTAGTGCGTGTAGAACTCGCCGTAGTCGTAGAACACCTTCAGACACTTGACGCAGTGGCTGATCTTGTGGGTTTCATGTTTTTGCAAGTGTCTGAAATGTCATTCATTATCAATACTAAATTGCACACTGGGTTTTTAATTCGTCACCACTGTTAGATATCGACACAGGGGCAAAGAGCAACTAATAGGATCGCCGGTTCGCTATGCACTCGTTTATTCTAGAAACGATACAACGGCCGGCAGCGGGGCCGCGCGTGCGCGCTACAATTAAACATATCTATTTAACAATAACTCATATGATTTATCACAGATGATTGTGATTTTAATCCATCCCCATGGATGATGATGTAACAAGGAGTGCACGTACCTGTTGAGCTGCGCCTCGAGCGCGTAGTGCGCGCGCGGGCAGCGGCCGCAGCGGTAGGGGCGCGCCGTCACGCGGTGCGCGTCCGACACGTGCTTGCGCAGCGACGCGCGCGAGTAGAACGACTCCCCACAACCCGCCTCCACGCATTTTATACTGCAATACCGTAAATCTATATATAAATACGTGAAAAGAATACATTGTAAGATCGAGAGTAAATCGGCACTGAACTTTGAACGTTTTTTTTTTGTACGAATTGACTCTCCGGACAACCTATTGCTCCTTCAGTTTTCATCCACTGGTGCTAGGAACTATAATCGATTGGAATATTTTGGGACCATGGAAGTGTACATCACAATGGACCTTAACTTAGGTATACTTGTATTTGAGGGTGACTGTACTAATAATACATATTATTATAGTAGGTAGTAGGTACCGCGGCGGGCGCTGGTGCGAGTCCATGTGCTTGCGGTAGGTGTAGAGCGTGAGGCACGTGGCGCGGCACAGCGCACAGCGCAGCAGCGCGCGCGCAGCGTGGCGGCGCGCCACGTGCTGGCGCAGCGACTTGCGCGTCTTGAACAGCGCGCCGCACTCCGCGCACCTGCACGAGCGCGCCCTGTGGCTGTCGTGGTGCGACTTCAGGCTCCCCTAACAGTACCATAAACAGTGCATACAGACACGGTTCAAATATAGGTCTAGTGTCCACTAATAACAAATTGCTTGGTTTATAGTTTCAAATTATAAAAAAATATAGTTTTAAACAACTATAAAACCTCGGGTGCCTGTTGTCAATAGTAAAAAGCACCCCACGCTTTTTTCAAATTAGTTTTCTGTTTTTTACTTTGGTTTTCTATAGAAAGCGTGTTTTTTAGTTTTTTTAAACTATATATATTTTTAAATCAGTGTATTGTCATAAGTCCTCGATATATCTACAAAGTTTGAACGAATTCTGACCGTTTAAAGTCAGGCAAAATCACGCCCAAAGTAGTCGGTTACAAACATACAAACAAACATACAAGTGAAGCTAATATAAAGCGTGTAATAATGAAGGAACATAGATAAGAAAAAACCAGTCTATTTCTCATAAAAGTTAAAGTTTTTTTTTTTAAATAACATCGTACAAACTAGGCAGTAAGTCACGTGACAGCGAACACCAATCAGAAAGTGTTACGTCACGCCACGCAAAACATCATTTTTGTTGTTGACGTTTTCATACAACAGCGCAGGTTGCTCCTTATTCCTGATACATTTTTAGAAAACAGTTGACACTGGACACAGATGTAAACAGTTTTATTTCGCAGACTGTGACGTCATTCAAGACACCATGACACTATTCAGCGTTTTCAAGGGATTTTTTTTTCTTTTAATACAAAATACGTAATTTAAATATTGATTTTTCTTTAAAATATAGGTTTTTTGGGATAAAATAGATTTTAAAGTATATAATTAACCAAGTTTTCAAATTGAGTCAACTAGCCTATTATACGATCGATCTCTAATCTTAATCAGTAAAACTGGCTTTTCTTCTACGGTCATGAATAAAAAAAACTTACTAAATTATATACATTAAATTGTGCTTTGAGTATTTTTAGGGTTCCGTACCTCAAAAGGAAAAACGGAACCGTTATAGGATCACTTTATTGTTCGTCTGTCTGTCTGTCAAGACCCTATAACACGGGAACGCGTAGAGGTATCGAGTTGAATTTAAAACCATATACTCAGGTCTACAGTTCCTGTAAAAAAATCAAACTTCTAAGTTAACGTAAAAAAAATATACAGCCGTTTATGCAGTAACGAACGCATATTTCAACACTCTGAAGGGAATCAAAATTCATATGGTACTTCCCATTGACCTAAAACTATGAAATTTGGCAAGTGACTTCTTTTACTTATTATTCTTATATTATTAGTATTTTTGCATGGTTTGTTCGATTGTTATACTGTACTATTGAGTCACTTAATTTGTATTGTTCAAAAAATGCTTGTACTTGTGTAACAATTTATTCTTCTGCGTTCTCTCTCAAATTTTGAAATGCCTGGAAAAGGCTTCTAAGTTGGGACTACTACATATAATATTATAAGATCATTGATGTACACTTGGTTGGCAAATAAAGATTTGATTTGATTTGATTTGATTTGACTTACTACAAGTACAGGGAAAAATCTGAAGACTATACATTTGTGATAAAATCAATAATCGAGGTACAATTTCACTTATTTTGACTGCCTCGGTAGCGCAGTTGTAGTTTATGCGACCGCTGTGCTGAGGTCTCGGGTTCGATTCCTGGGTCGGATCAAATGTTTGTATGATCTTCAAATATTTGTTTCGGAGTTTGGGTGTTCTCTATGTATAATATGTATGTATTAACAAAAAAAAGTATATAAGTATTCTATCAGACAATATAGCTTTCATAGTACAAGATCTGCTTAGTTTGAAACTAGATGGAGTTATGTGTCAGATGTCCGAAACATTATTATTATTACTTTTTAAACACAATTTAACTAATTATAGCTTTGAAACTGAACTTCGGGAAAAGCTAGGCATAACCTGGCGACTCGATACCTGAACTATTTATAATATAGACCTACAAATTTGTAAGGAACCCTCGGTGGGCAAGTCCGACGCGCACTTGTCCGGATTTTTTATTAATAATAATAATTAATGCTTATATACACTATATTAAATATTTATGTAGTAAAAAGTATTAAAGAAAATTTGCCTCTAGTACTCAACTTGAATTGAAATAAACTGTTTTCAAATCGTTAATAACTTCCACTGGAATCAAATCGATTATATTATTTTTAATCGAATCGTTAACTTCTTTGTTTATCACTATTTGAGTATCAACTAAACTGTAAAAACTAAATAAAATAATGATCGGACTATAAGAGCGATGACTTTAACTACATCAGACTTAGAAACCGACTAAAACTATAAAGAGTGAAACCATACCACGTTCTTGCCAATGTAAGTGCAGCCCGGGAACCAGCATTTGAGTGAGTTGATACCGAGATGTATCCGATGGTGATGAACCAGGTCGAACCTGTGCTTCACCGACTCGTTGCAGAACTCGCACACGAATGGTTTCTATAACAACATGTTCACATAAAAAATGAGGTTAAGAATAAATGTGGCGACTCCCATATCAAATGAAAATTTGGCTTCAACGCCATCTAACGATGATACCACGAACTACCGAGTTACTAATAATTCTATATCGCGCAACGAAAATTCTTGCGGCCATTACAAGTATTTTTTTATTATATGAGTCAACTCGAAACTAAGAGACCACTCTAGGTGTTTTAGAATCTTATGTGGTACCGTACATTTTAAATTTGGACCTTGGTCATACACATTTGGATCCTTGAGTTTCGTAGAAATGACGGCACTTTTAGCTTTCCCAGAACGAATTGATGAGTTAAAGTGTTTGAAATGGTCCATTTATAAAATCTTCGCCATATATGGGCCAGACTCGACCGGAGTGATAACAGGATGTCACAAAAAACCGGTGTTAAGCAGCTCTTTCGTTGCCTTTTACCGAGTGAGTAAGGTTAGCTAAGCCCCTCCTCCGATTCTGGAGGAGGTGACCCATCTGCTTGTTTGCCCCCCCCCCCCCCCCCATACCACGACAAATATAAGGTTAAGTATTTTTCTTCTTCTTAAGGTTACGTCGACGGTTATGTCTACGGTAGAGTCGATTTTTATTCAAAAGATTTTGCTGAATTGTGTTTTGAATGCTTATATATTCTGTGCCTAATGTGACTAGCTATCTATGTTGTTATGAGGGTTTCCAACACTCTCATCAAATTATTAAGTTAACTCTTATTGTGTGCTTTTCTGTGAGGTGACAGATCATTCATCCCGTAGGTGTCGTAAGAGCCAAATAAGATAGCAAATTACGTAGAACAATAGCACTGCAAGGAGCAGGAAAACTTGAAACAAACCCTATACTAACCCATCTGGCCAGAGAGGTGTAGTAGGCCAAAACCTCCTTACAAAGAGAGGCCTATGTTTAGCATTGGACCATAAAGGCTGTTGATAATGATGTGTGTTTCTTAGAGATGAATAAATATCTTACCACAGCATCCAAGTAACTGGTATAGTATGTGTTGTAGTAGTGGAGGGGTACGTGTTGCCTAACTTCCTGGTCAGTGTCGAAGGGGCGCATGCACAAGCGACACCTCAACGTCGCCTCCGCCACTGTCTTCTTCGGAGGTCTGACCACCTCCGAGTGTACGATTTCCTCTACCGTCGATATATTGTCGTCTGGCAAATAATTAGCGTCGTCTCCATCATTCTCGTTGTTTACATTCTCATACGAATCTGTAAATAAATGTTTTTTATAACGTCGTCTACAATGGCCTTTTTTCAGAATTAAGATTTTTGAAGATAAAATAAATTTATCCTATTATGTTTTGCCGGCGGTTCGCTTCGCGTTAATGTCGATTTTGTCAATCAATTTTCCTTGGAAAAACAGCAGCCTATATATGAGGTTAATATAGATACGTGTGGCGGCGCCTTGGGCCGCCGCTGCTGTCTGTCCCGTGCGGGCGCACCAACCTGCAGAGAGAAGCACCGCTGACGAGCGCACTACGTACTCTGAATATAATTGCGGATGAAATAGATTTATTTTATTGCTCACTGAGTGAATTCACAATAACAGCATTAAGAATTATTTCTTATAATAAATAAGTAGATGGTATAACACTATTGCATTGGGCTAAACCTGTAATAATAATTGTTTTTAAAGGAAATAAATAAATTTTATCTAGAATGTTCAGTCGTTCTGGTCTAATCAAGTAACTAATATTAATTTATAATAGTTTTACGATTCCAACTGTCTATTGTCGAGTTGACAATACAAAAGTAATTTGTACAAATGTATATTTGATCTTCTCGTAACATTTTGTTAGTTAGTATAATAAAATATATTTTTATTCGACTTTAAATCATGATAATGTAGTGGTTTGTGTAACGGACTACTATTCGGACGGACGCGGGTTCGATTCCCGCTCAAGTCAAACATTTGTGTGCATGAACATGGTGTTTCTATGTATAATATGTATGTATTTACAAAAAAAAAAATTAATGTATTTATATCAGTTGTCTAGTACCCATAGTACAAGCTCTGCTTAGTTTGGGGCTAGATGGCGAGGTGTGAATGTGGCAGAATATTATATTATTTATTATGATACAATACAATAAGTTGCATTCCTCATCCCTCAATTTTATTATACAATATAATTTATATTCAATTTTTGAGGAGCACAACCTAGAAAAAACCTTCATCAACAGCCTATAATAGTCCACTGCTGGACATAGGCCTCTCCTTAGAAAGGAGGTTTTGGCCTACTATACCACGCTGGCCAAACGGGTTGGTATAGGGTTTGTTTCAAGTTTCCTTCTTTTTCCAGTGCTGTTGTCCTGAGCAGTTTGGTCCCTTAGTCGTCTCTTACGACACCCACGGGATGAATAGGGGTGGTGATATTCCGTATTCTTAATCCGCCACCACACGGATGGCGAAAACCTAATTTCGTTCAGAGCGCATGGCCATTGCGGCAAAGCCAGTGTGAGTTACAGGTATGTCCTGACATAACCACCGTTGTAAGCAACCTCCCTATCGACAACTCAGACTTCACAACTAGCCCACTCTTGAAAAAAAAGAAGAAATAAGAAAAAAAAAACATACAATACACAAATTGTTCACCAGCATCAGTAGGGCCAGACAGTGTGGAATAAACTTGAAGAGTACTCCCAAACTCCACATCCTGAGGTCGCTGATCATCAATTATGGAGTTTACGGCGTCTGCTGTTTCTGACACCGTCTGGGTTTGTAAAGTGTGTATGCCCTGGGTTTCATTATGTACATTGGAATTGAGAGGTTCTAAGGGTAGTGGAATTTGTGTGTTGTCCAAGTTTAGTTCCTCTCCAACCATCCTGGTGTTAGTTTTTGCTGGTTTTTGGATCTTCTCTTTTCTACTAGGTTTTACATCTTAAAAAAAAAGAAATTTAATTATTGGTTACAAAAACGAGGGGTGGGGCCTTTCACGAGGGTTCTTCAGAGCATCTCGCGAATAGGATAAGATTAGTTTGTTTTCCTGATCAATTACGGTAAGGAAAGGGATGGAGCGAGGGCCCTATCATTTTCAGTATCATCATAAGTCTGGACGGGACGGGACTAAAACTGGGACTACCACTAAGACCAGTCTGACCATAGACTGGTCTGGACTGACCATGGTCAGATGATGTCTTAGTGGTCATAAGGTCATCAACTGACCACGATTAGTATGTATACATTTTTCTAATGAAAGTTTTTCTTTCAACTTTGGTCTTCCAACACAAATTAAGGATTCTTCGACCAGGCGAGGTGATCATGCCTAGCGGGCCAAGGCACAGCGGCTGATGTTATTGCATATTTTTATACTATTATAGTTCATTCGCGTTAAGAAAATAGTGACACTCCAAACAAGTTCTAAGCTTATTAGTCAGGGGGGCGGGGTTCAATATCGTACACAATATAAACTTGTTGAACTAAGAAATCTCTAAACAAACTCTTCGTTTGTAAAAAGAAGAAAGTACCACAGAGTAAAAAGCATTAGTGACTCACAAATATTTTTTTTTATCATCCATTGCTTGACAGCGGATAAAGGCGGCAACGGAAAACGCATCTTATATTTCAGAAACACGTATGCCGTTTGGCTAATTATCTGCTTGAGGAATACCACCTTCTCCATCTCCGAGTCTGACCACACAATATCTCTCAACTTCTTGGAGTTGCTTATCATATTAATTTGAGCTTCAGTGAACATTTTGGCCAACCGCGCTTTCAATAAGTTCAATTCTTCCAACTCTTCGCTGTGACATTTACCAGTTTGAACACCTATTGTATTCTTTTTCACGACTCTCTGTTCTGCTTCAATTTTTTCTTTTTTATATTTTGTCTCTAACTCTATCCATATTTCTTTTTCTTTTTGTATATCTGCCAGTTTCTTTTTTAGACTGGTGTATTTTTGCAAAGGAAGCAATACCATGGCTTTTCTGTAAGAATAATCATTTAATTATATTCTAAAAAAAGTACCAACTGGCACAGTTCGCCAAATTTTAGGCCAAGGTGGTGTTTTAGTGAAATAAATAGTGTATATAATGACATGTACCTTCAAGTGTGTAACAAATTTTACAAATTAAGTTAATAAATATTATTTCTCTGTGTATTAGCGGCTAACACTTTCGACCAGTAGGCTAGCGTAGCTTAATATTTAAATATAGTCTTAGCACAGAATATATAATAGTATTAGCACAAAAGACCTATTCCACAAAACCATTTCAATTTAAAAGCGACTTTCTTCCACGCCATAAAGTGCAATTTCGTTTGAATTCAATTAATCATCACGCACTTACAGTTAAATTTGCGAACTCTAATATCTTCTTATAGAACAATAAGAACTAGTGATGCGCAAAATGTATCACTGAGCTGAAAAGATTGATACATATTATTTCGCTCTAAAGATATACACGGTGATTTTGAAAGCGTTTTGGAAACGAAATATTTGAATTTGGAATCATCTATAGTACCAATAAAAATGATTAAATCAATTGTATTGTTGTCTAAAAAAAAGTTTCAGTTTTAATATTCATTTTTACTCGATCGACTTGGAAAGTAGTAATGGACTGATCGTTCATTCATTATCTTATATGAATGAAACACGTCCGTGGGCGTTTCGGCGGCCGCTGCGCACCGCCGACGCTAACAGCAGCTGACAAAACTATACCTATAGGCGCGAGCTAGCGAGTACTTACGTAGATAGACTCCAATTTGTCCTTCATACTTTACACGGGCTTAGGACCGTCAGAAATACCTATTTTATTTAAACTTCTTTTCGATTATTAACCACGATTGTTCTTTTCACAACAAATCAATTTATCAACGGACTGTAGGTATAAATATTTCAGGCGTATTTAAAAAATCGGAGCTATCTACAGAATAATTAACTTACATACCTATTTACACTATTTACAGTTCTCTGTATCGAAGGAACTGCTCAAAATGGAGTCCGCTGCATTCAATACACAAACGTCCACGTTTAATGCAATTGTTTTTTAATTTTCTTAATGTGTCTCTATCACTTTTCACTTTAAAGCGTCCACTATCGCAATGCGTAAATTATCACGGCTTTCATATTCCCGTGTATTAACAAGTCTTTTTATTTCCGACCATAAGAAAAAATCCAGGGGCGTTAAGTCCGATCACTAAGCTCATTGTCCAGGTATGCACGCACTACACTCCGGCGAATAATAATTAAAACGTCCTTGACCTTGCGCATGAGTAGGCGCACGAAATTGTCCGTGGTCGAGAAGACGTTGGGTTGCAGCCAAGATGGTAGGTGTGGAGGGAATTTGAGGGCTTTCAATTCCACGTAGCCGTAGTGCATTTAAATGCTCCGGCTTGGGAATACAAACGCCGAGCCTCTTCCAAGTTGTAGTTGGCAGTAGCGTACAGCTGTACCATTGCCAAGAAGTATTCCACGTTTGAAAATTCGTACTGTCGACTCATTTTAGCGCTAATCAATGCAGCGTGCCGTCACGATGTTATGGTATTACTTTACTGACCGACTGACGATGACAGGTGAGCCCCGCGCATGCGCCTACGGGGCAGACGTCATTGGTTGGACGACTCCGGCGCAACTCGGTAGCTTTGTTTTTATTGGCGAATACGATTTGATGTGACTCGATATTAAAACGCATAGTATTTCTATTCGTAGTATTTACCTACGTGTGATTGAATAGCCTACTACTACTGGTTCTGACTTTTTCTCTGTAAACGATATGAATATCGACTTTGATGATAAAAAAAAATATATTTTATTAAATTAACGTTATATATAGCTTCTGTTACTGATAAATAACTCAAAATTTTCTTTTCCAAAACGCTTTCAAAATCACCGTGTATATCACTCATCTAGCTCACTAGCTCATTGATCCGATTCAATTGATTGGTCTCTCAATTAATTCATTTCTTCATCTAGATCGTTTAGCTCAGTATACTCGTATATCACTCACTTTAAGCAACTCTCGCCATACAAACCTTTCTTTATTTTCATATTGACCTTAATTCAGTTCTTGAAACTACATTTTTAACCTATTTTTTTTAAATACAATTTTATTCATTTTGATAAAATTACTAATTATTAACACCCTTTTATATAATAATTAAAAATAAGAAATACGTATAATAATTATTTCTTGTACTTTTTTTAAGTTGTATATTAGAAATGATACATAATTATATACAGAAATTGATTTTCCTTGTACTTGGTAGGCTTAATTCTTAAGTAATCTTAAACTTTGATCCTACAGAAATAATGTACATTTTGCAAAAAAAAACTTGCGCGAACTCAACCATCATCTATCTCACTCATTTATCTTTAGTCTCACTCGCTCATGAGACAAAGATCGGCGTGTCGTTGAGCTAGTACTGAGTTACTGATATATACGGAGCAAGTGTGAGTGAGTGATACATTTTATCGTCGTGAATGATATGTCTTTTATAGCACTCACTCAGGAGCTACACAACTCTAATAAGAAAATCAATTTTGAATCCATGTTATTATTTATGCAGCCAAACAAGATAATATTGTTTTGTAGGATACTACACGGCACGACTAGCGCACGATAGCCTACTGAATTAGGTCGACAAATCTAGCCCGCCTCACAATACTTGTAGTTTTATATCTATACAAATAAATAAAATTGGAGTGTCTGTTTGTAATATTAAAATAACCGCTTTTTACTAAATGCATATGTATGCTTACACGGTACATATGCCAAAATAACATTTTTTTACAATTTTTGTCTGTCTGTTCCGGGTAATCTCTGGAACGGCTGGACCGATTTCGACGGGACTTTCACTGGCAGAAAGCTGATGACATAAGGAGTCACTTAGGCTACTTTCTTTAGACTAGCTTCGCCCCGCGGCGTTGCCCGCGGTTATAACAACAAACGCGGGTAACACCGCGGCTCTCAGCTAGTCTTAAATAAGGAATTGGGTGAGGACCACTTTCAGGTAACATGTACCAATACATACCCACTTCTAGCTTCAGCTAAATTCTTTTTAGTAGTGTGAATATTATTTTTGGATGAATTTTGGCCATTTATACTTGCTAACTTTGCCATGCTCATGAAACTAACATTGTCTTTCCTTCGTGTGTATGTTTTGGGGGGCACTGAAATATAAAAATAGTTTGTTTAACAATCCCAAGGGATCGAATGATAGCAATCACTTTGTGTTTAAAATCAAAGTAACATAGTATTATAATTATGTAGATCATAAGTTGAAGATTGTGTCCGATAGATGGCGTTGTATTAAACGGCTACATCGCGCTATAGTTTGTTACCAGCGATATGCATATAAGCAGATGCTAAAATTTCGTAGACAAGAATTACAGCTCCTAGATCAGATCAGTTGTGGTTTCATTTGTTCCCAACCCTTCTAGTAGTTCTTAGTTCAATAGCTCAATAAACACTTTGCAATATGTAATTCTTGTATACGACTTGCAATAGTGATATTCTTGGAATGTGTGGGTTTGGCTGGTTTTGTTAGTGGTAGCTACCCACTTTATTGAAGGAATCAGGAATAAACTGATCTGGCAGAGAACCAAGGTCACCGACATAGTCTACTGGATTAGCAAGCTGAAGTGCCGTTGGGGAAATTGAGTTCTTGAGAGGAGACCCCGCGTCTCGGCAAACGTAGTGTAGGACGCCCGCAGGCCAGGTGGAGTGACGATTTGCGCAAGATGGCTGGCAAGAGCTGGATGCGAGAAGCCCAAAATCGATCTAAGTGGCGTGCAATTATTTTCTTGAAGAACATACAAATACACCCACCTGACTGTAAATTATGATTCAGAATGTTAGGCACTGTGCAGTTATCATGTTGGTTTGAAACAATAGGCATTGGTTTTGTGAGAGCCATTGGTTTTATGGGAGTCAAATTTGTTTCATCTTCTGGACCAGTATTGACTTCTTTGATTATTTCATATTTCCTCAAGCTGCAATTATTGTTCTTGTTGACTTCTAAATGATCATCAGTATCAATAAATTCAACATCACTATCACTTTCATCTTTGTTTCCTTCATCATTTTCCTCAATAATATCATCATCATCATATTCAGCTAATCTTATATTCCCATCAACAATAACTATTTTGTACATTTTGTTTGGTTTAATATTACTATCATCAATTCCAGAATTATCATTATTTTCTGCATTTGATTCTATGATGGTTGTGTGATTGTCATTTTCATTTTCCTTAGTAACAGATTTATTTTCATTTGTAGTATGTGTGGACCTCTTCTGTATGTTATAGTTGAATATAATACCTTTTGGTGGAACACAGTTGGATTTTTTAACTTCATGGAGGTTTGATTCTGATTCATGACTTGGTTTTCGTGCATAAGTCTGTGTGTTACTATGTGATACATAGTTTGATGTGGAATTTTTAGCATCTGTAAGTAAATAAACACATAATTAATTGCACTGAAATTGTAACGTGTTAAAAGAGTGTCATATCGCTTTGGTGCACAGTTGCATAAACACTGTATAAGGGGTATGTCAGTACACTTACGAGTTTGAGTGCAGTATGTGAAAGTATATGGTGAACAGCAAAAATGAATAATTAAAAAAAAGTAGTTAGATTTAGAAATTTATGTGTATTTATGTGACAATGTTAGGTCTGCCATAGAGGTAATACAGATTAAGAGGAGAAGGTATTTGATTGCGTGTAGGTGGAATAGCGACATCGGTAGAAAGAAGACGGTGAATACTTGGGCAAACAGATCAGTGAAGAGGTGCGAGAGAGATGAATGTAAATCATTGTGTTCTTTCTCTTTCTATCAACATAAATCGCTGTCTTCTTTCTACTAATGTCCCCGGATCCTGGCTCGCTTCTATCCTCTAACTACATAATATCTCTATGGGGTGTGCACGACTGAGTCAGTCAGCCCATGACCAAGGCCAGTAAAGTACAACCTCTAAACTTCTTGCCATTCATAGGCAATGGTCAACACTGAGACAATTTTCTCAACATAACTTAATTGCTTAACTCTGGCTATAGCTGTTAGTTGATACTTTTAAGTTGACAGCAAACAAAAAGAAAACAATAGAATTTAAAAAAAGAACATGAGAATCCTTTGTCTTTGAGATTAAACAGACCGCGTTAAGTAGAAAAGATCCAATTAATTTTCAATAAAAAAAATTTAAGAAAATAATTTATAAGTAATTCTGGCAGTATGATCACACATTTGTTAATCACATAAATGTTATTGAGGTAAAAATTCACAATTAGGGCTAAAATACGAAATAGTTACAGTTTTATGGATAGCAGAATATAAGTTGGGTTTTTTATGCTTTTTAGGATCATAAACAATTTATATGTTTAACATGTAAAATGTTTATGTGTAAAATTAACATACACTCGTACGTACCATTGTCTTCACGCGTAATCATACGTTTATTTAATCTCCATGGAAGAGGCATTATTAAATCTTTAGGTTATTTCGAAGGCTGAGAACTGAGATCAAACTTCTTTTTTCATTATGAATTAAAGTGTGTCTTTATCACACAAAACTGATAGCTGATAGCACGCAAAAACACACTGATATGTAATATCAAGACTTATAGAGATCTTAAAAATTATGAAAGAAGTGATGAAAAATATACTTAATTCGTATTTTTTATTTATAAACAAGCAAATAATAATAACGTTCTGTCAATTCATACTAAGGGAATGGTCATAGATAAAATACAATGGGAACGGTTAACACCAGTCTTTCTTGCGAACATTTTTACAAACTTAATTAACAGATGGCAGTAAAATAAGCTTCTAACAATGAGATTTGTGTTTATCTGTTTCAGTCAAGTCTCAGTGAAGAGTTATTGAGGTCAGACCTTTTTTGGTAGTGATTAATGTATGGGTATATACAAATATATATATATATATATATATATTTAGATTTTATTGTTTAACAATTTCATGTTATTATTATTTTTTCTTATTAGTTTTAATATT